GAAATCCAGCACGGGCTCCGCCCCCAAACAGAGCCGTCAAAGCCTCGTACCAGCGAAGAAGACGCAAGTGCTGGTGTTGTGGTTCGCCTTTGCAGCGCAAAAAACACTGGCGTTGTCGTAAACACTCGATTTCGTGGGGAACGTGACGGGGTCGCGCGTCAGTGTTGAATGAATTGCGCAATGAATGGAAAATGAATTACTATTTAAACTGAGTTGGTGACGGAAACAGGAAGGTTAAGAAGGTAAGAGTCCAGTGGGAACAGAATTCGTGTGGAAATGGCGACATCCGTATGCAAATGAGCAGGTGGCAGAAGGCGTGCTGCGATATTTCCCCCGTGGGAGTGAATACTACTTGCTTAGAGCATTACCCAACGGCTTTATTCATACACGGCCTGTATGGCATTTGCATCATAAGCCACATGTTTGCCTTCATCTCACAACGGGCAGATCGCTATAGCTTTCAAACCCAGAGGGCAAGAATTAGGCCTAACGTAATATTTGTGTTGCATACTTAAGCAGCGTTTGTGTTGCAAACAGTTGCTTGAAAAACCATGACGATATACATGAGGTTATCATGGAATAATAGCTGGGCTACTGAATCACTATTGCCTGCCATTCCACGCAATTGAGGAACACCCAAAGACAATTAAAACGGTCGTAAAAATGATCCATGTGCTGTGTGTGGAGAATTAGTGCTGTCATTAATTTGCATCTGGCCATTTCAGTACCCACCCAGTGCATCAGATCATGGCTTCATAACGAACCTTCTTTTAACAATACGTGGCAACTGCCACTGCCTGAGACGAGGCATGGGCCTTGGTTCGTCTGGACTGGGAAAACCTTCGGCTCGTCATCTTGTGGGAGTCACACCAGTGTGAATCGATTCACTTTACAGACTATTGGGATTCTAACTCACCAGTTAAGCAATTTTGCTGTGGTCGCAGACGCAGACTACAGACATCGAGATTAAGATCCGAACTGAAATATGTCGGAAGTCAGACTGATGGTAGATCTCTTTGCTTCTTATTATGGTTTTATCCATCGCCATTTAGTGCGTCTTAGCCGTAAAGCCCTTGTATTGTTATAGTTTGGAATGCGGCCTATGGCTAAGTATTCGGTATCTGATGGTAGTACGTGCATTGGGCTCGCTCTGGTTTATTTCGTTTTTCTTTTTGTCGGCTTAGATGGAGAAGTTTTTTTTTAGAAACAGCTTTGTATTTTTATGGTTTGGGCTATAATGAGTAAGACTGGTGTTGGTATGGCACTCGCGTAGGGGTCCCGGATCAAGCCGACTCCCCCCCCCCCGGACTTGTAACGTGCGTGAGCAAATGTTGACACTTGAAAATTCGAGGTGGACACGCAGGCCCCTATGAATGAAGCAAATGGAGTACTGTTTCACGCCATGCAAACATGCTATGTACGTACAGAAGCTCAGCTATGTCTTTCAATTAATTTTTTGAGTTCCCCCATGCAAAATCCCGTGTACATCCCTGAGCATCGGGAACCCAACTTCGCAAAGACCTTCAAAAATGTCTACAATTTCACAACTTTCCCAAAATTGACTCGCCAAGACATCGGATAAGACATAGTTCAGGTCAAATTTAGTGTTAATGGAATCAGTGTAACCTGCTATAATCTATCCTTGACAACTTCCACCAGGACAGCATGATATGGAGCGACCCATGCCTTGCTTGATCCCGCAACACGGCGACGGACTCAGATACAATACGTCATGGCTCGCGGTCTCGTGCTCAGGCTCGGACCCATGAGCAGTGACGGTGCGTGGGCTCGGGCTCACGTGAGACGACCATTGGGGACGAGGCACTCGTACCCAGATTCCAGATATCAGAACTCAGACTCAGATTCGAACTCAGGCCCTTGGAAGCGGACCAATACCTGCCAGGGACAGCATTCATGCATGCATACTGTGCAACAACACGGCGGTGGGTTACTCAGCAACATGTACAGCAGAGGACAAACGGAAACGTTGATGCTCTGACACCGAGTGAATGAAGAGAATGTGCTTCAACGCTCCTCATACTCAACGCAAAGATCCTCTTCCGGAAGGCATGATCCATCTCTTTGAAGGGTAATTTTGACTTAATGCTAGTGATATTACGCTGTCAGGGCGCCCACCGCGCACATCACGCACAGTACTTCCGCTTGTTAGCCACAATGGTATTATGCGTTCCACCAGGTCTTTGATCACTGGCAAATTGCTGTTTGCTTACCCCCTGTTGTGAGGATTGTAGCGGTATCAGGCGTGTTGAGGTATTGTTTTCCTGCTGGGTGTCACATTAAGATACTTAATTTTCACCCGCTCACACAAATCAGTGCCGCCTGATGCTGTACTACAAGCTTCTGTGTGCACAGGTGTTTGCTGCTGGTATGTTTTTCGTACTCACGTGACCCCTTTCACCTTATTGACATATCTGTTGTGTGGTGAGGCGATGGACTGTATACATACATATATATATATATATATATATATATATATATATATATATATATATATATATATATATACATATATGTATATGTAAATATATATAATGTATGAATATGAATATATGTATATATATATATGTATATATGTATGTATGTATATATATAGATATATATATCTATATCTATATCTATATCTATATCTATATCTATATCTATATATATATATATCTATCTATCTATCTATCTATCTATCTATCTATCTAGCTATATATTCCCAATGGTCCTTGGAAAAGTAAGGAAAGTAATGAAAGATATAAAGTCGGACATATTATGATACATCTTTGTCCAAATACAGAAAAAATGGGTGGGATCATCGGCTGGCAATTTTAAATCACCTCTGCTATTCATTTTGATAAAAAGATGTTGCCGAAATATCAACTCATATATATATATATATATATATATATATATATATATATATATATATAATATATATATATCTCTCTCTCTCTCTCTCTCTCTCTCTCTCTCTCTCTCTCTCTCTCTCTCTCTCTCTCTCTCTCTCTCTCTCTTCTCTCTCTCTCTCTCTCTCTCTCTCTCTCTCTCTCTCTCTCTCTCTCTCTCTCTCTCTCTCTCTCTCTCTCTCTCTCTCTCTCTCTCTCTCTCTCTCTCTCTCTCTCTCTCTCTCTCTCTCTCTCTCTCTCTCTCTCTCTCTCTCTCTCTCTCTCTCTCTTCTTTCTCTCTCTCTCTCTCTCTCTCTCTCTCTCTCTCTCTCTCTCTCTCTCTCTCTCTCTCTCTCTCTCTCTCTCTCTCTCTCTCTCTCTCTCTCTCTCTCTCTCTCTCTCTCTCTCTCTCTCTCCTCTCTCTCTCAATTCAAAGCTCTCTCAAGTAGGACCCTATGTCCCTTTTAGAGCTCGAAGTCATCTACAGAACACAGGGCCACCCAAACAGGAACGCGGGTGAATCTTTTAAAAAAAGTCGGCGATCAAACCTTAACGTCCAGGCCTCATCAGGGGCGATTATGTGAACGTGGTACATGCCTGAATGTGTGATGTGTGGTAACCCAAAATCGTGTAATGTATAAATGATGCCTGACGTGTGATGTATATGCCTGTTTAATTGAAATCGTTTGAGTGTTTTATTGATGCGTGATGTGTGATGCCTGATCATTTCAACTTGCTTGCATGTTTGAATGAAGCGTGGTTTGTGATGTCTGTTTACTTGAATCCGTTCGCATATACTTTTATATTTTGCGTATCCTAATTCTTAATTGGATATGCACTGTAGCGTAGCAATGGCTGGTGATTGTTCCTTGTTTAATCCCCTGCTTGTTGGTGTCCTGTAAAAACTGTGGCTTGCTGTTTCAACAAAAACAAAACTGAAAAATCGAGTAGGATCATCGGCAGGCAATTCTGAATTCCCTTCTGATACTCATTTCAATAAAGGCATGCTACCAAAATATCAATGCCTCTATATATTCATTCTCCTGGCTTTTATCAGAGGAATAACGCTGTTACTACTGTCTTGTCAATGTGAATAATGCTCCACGCAAATGCATTGAACAACTTACGTAATTTTGCACTTTAAACATACGATCACAGGCATAGCACATATACAAAAGTTTGCTTCCATTGTATGCTTACGGAATACATGTTTGATGCTTTTGAAAAAGTAGCATTTACATGTTGTATGCTCAAATTCCAGACACACTTCTGTACGGTTGAAAGCTTACGTTTGCACCACATCAAGCTAAAAGGTTACTGGTCCGTTAGGTTTGCATTGCGGGAGGGGAGTCTCTCCTATCAGTTGCATGTCGTAGAGCGGTTGTGTGAATTTTTGTTGTGTATGTTGATGATAGGTGTCATGTGTCTGATGTATAACGTCTCCAGCGCGGTGGCCGTCTATGGCCTGTGGTATGCGCAAATATGACAGTGTTCATTACTAGCGCATTTCTAGTGGGTGGGATGCTGTGTTGTGAACGCACTTGTGTTTTCGACGCCCTTCTAGCAAGTGCATGGCAAAACGTCGACCGAGACTTGTATTTAGGCTGATGTCGATTACTTTGAGGGCCTGACAGTACCCCGGCAGTACAATGGAAACAGTGACCTGCTTTGGTCTGTTCCATCTTGTCTGGTTTGGTTTAGGATATTTTTGGTCACCAGGGATAATTTTTCAAGCGGAATTTTCTTTTGTGAATAACCAGCAATGTTTAAGAGCAAACCTTCTCTCGAAATACCCTTTAATATATATGCATATGTGTATATATACATATATATATACATATATATATATATATATATATATATAAAGCTTGTTTATCTATTCATAATTTCGACTTCAGTGTGTACAGAGATGTCAGTAAAGAGAGTACTTTTGCAGGAGTGCGTCCCCAGAGGGTGCTGCCGGGTGGCGGGTGTGTGGGTGTGACCCGGGGTCAGGCACGGCGGCGGCCGGCGCCGGCGCCGTGACCTCGGCAGGCCGCGCCGCCGGCCGGCGTGTGCCGAGTCTATAAAAACGAAAGTGCGCCTTGGTGCCCGACCAGTTCACTGGCAGTCAGACAGGATGGCGTGGACCCAGGTGTGTACCGCCGGAGACGGGGACCGAGCGCACGGCACCTGCATTGCAGCTAAGGAGCGGCCACGGCCGACTAACCCCCCGCGGCTGGTGGTGGAGACTCACAGCGGTTGTGGAGCGCTCCGCTGTGCTCTGGTGTGCGCTGGTGGTCTTTGGCGTGCCTTCTTGCGCACTGGTGTGCTCGGGTGTGGTCCATTGTGCTCTGATGTGTTCAGGTGTGTTCTGGTGTGCTCCAACGAGCTCTGATGCGCCCTGGTGTGCTCTGGTGCATCCTGGTTCGCTCTGGCGCGTCCTGTGTGCTCTGGTGCGCCCTGGTGTGCTCTGACACGCCTTGGTGTACTCTGGCGCACCCTGGTGTGTTTTGGTACACTTTGATGTGCTCCGACGCGCTCTGGTGCTCCCTGCGGAATTCGGACGCGCTAGGCATGCTCAGGCACGCTCGAACACGCTGTTCATGCTTTGGAATGTCTCGGTGCGCTCCGATGCGCTCTGTTGTACTATTTCATGCCCTGGTGTTCCCTGCTGTGCTTGATACACTCTGGCTTTCCATCGGTGTATCCAGTGAGCAGTGGTGAGGCCTTCATGAACTCTGGACATTTACGCAGCTCCGCCAGCGGCAGAACCCAGCCCATGAGTGGTTCGGACCCTCGAGTCCTCAAGCGGCTTTATCCCCAGAGCATGAGTCTGGTCGTCAGACCATCGGTTAGACCCCCATCGATTAGACCCATTCGTTAGTTCCCATTGGTTAGACCCCGCCTCGGTGAACCCCGAACCATCCCGGGGACTCCCACCGTGGCCAAGCATTTGCTCTGTCTAGACCGACGTGCAGTCGGCAGGCATTCGGTTCGTACGCGTGCGTACATTTGCCAGAGTTTTCACGTCACCTGTTCACATCATCTTTTCATTGGTGATGGCAAGGCTCTTGCCAAATCTACGCGTCCCAAGCTTAAAAGCTTATCCCTGTCGTCTGAATTACTTCATTCTTCCCTGCGGGTATATATGTTTGCTTCACTGCTGCCCAGGTCAATAGCGTTCCGATGTGAATAGCAATATTTCTTGTATTTTAACTTGCATTTAAGTCTGACTATTACGTCATGCCATTGCATTTTGTTCATTGTTGTCTCACTTTACGCGGACGTGAAGATTAACACAATACCATGCCTATCCTGTAGAGATCCGTGTGGTGTGATCCCGAGTGTGCACAGGTGTTCACTATTCTGTCCTCTGTTTACTTCTGGAGGCTTGGCCACTGAATGTTTGGCTTGAGATCAGATATTGAGCCTTTTATTACACCTGACAGCATCTCGTGTTTGCTGGTAGCCGCACATCTCTGCATCCTTAACCACGGACATTTCTCCACACCCTGACACGTGCTGATGCGGATCTCCCTGCCGCTCCCTGTGACGGGCTCGCGACTTTAAAAAAAACCGGCGCCGCTGCTTCTCACGCCCCCAGGCTGCACTGCCAGAAGAATGCGTGTCTTGGACACCTTACCGAGGGCACAGCGTCTGCCGGGAAAGTTATTATGGACGTAAACAATTCCGCTTCCCGTCGAGAGGTACAGAATCTGATTTTGGAGTCCCGATTCCGATTCCGCGTTCGCAAAAACTCTGCCGAGGCGTCTGAACTCCCGCCTCAGAGCTCGTCAGCACCAGCAGGCTAACCGTCTCTGAACTCCTCCAGCAGTTCGCGTCCGCTCAGGCACCTGACCCGCCGACAGAGACGGATCGGCGGTCGGCGGCGGCGTGTGTGCTGCCGTCGCGCGCGGGCACGAGCCCCGTCACCCCGCCGCCCGGGTCCATCGCTCAGCTGTCGGCCATGTCTCTCCGCTTTTTGCCGCCCCTGGCCAGGCGTATTTCTCTGTTCGTCGCACATGCGCGGAAGCTCTAGAGCGCGTCCTTCATCCACGTCAGACAGTGTCGCTATAAAGTTTCCATCCCTCACGAGAGCGACACTTTTTCGCTGTTTTCCTATGACGTCGCCGGAAATCTCCGGTGTGATCTTTCTCCGATCATGCGCGTACACAACGGTTACAAACGTCCCGCAGTCAGGCACGTGACCGCTCTTTCCGGGCCCCTCGGCCGCTCATTCCAACACTGCCATCAATCTGGCTTTCATCACACGCCCAAAAAACAGCCTACCATAGCGCTGTGGCGACGCGGCATGGGGTTATTGGAGATGCGGCGCTGCTCCGTCCAGGGACGATTCGATGGGTTCCGGTCGGGTGACGGTGTGCTCCGGTCGGGGTGATGGTGTGCTCCGGTGTGACTATAAGCTGCAGCGTGACGCTGTGCTCCTCTGTGACGCACGCCTCCAGTGTGACGCGCGGTTCCAGTGCGACGCCTCGTTCTGGTGTGACCCAGAGCTCCAGTGCCGCACTGTGCCCCGAGGTGCTCCGCTGAGGTCGCCCCAGTGGGTCGCTGCCCGCTCCCGGGTAACACTGGGTCCCATGTAACGCCGCCCCCCGTGCATCCGCGCGCCCAGTGCGCCCCTGTGCCCGGCTAGCGGGCCGCGGTGGCCGCCGTGGTGACCCCGGCGCTGGCCCTGAGCGCAGCCCCTAATTGTGGGCCAGGGGTCGGTCATCACTCAGGGGCCGGCACCGTCCCAGATCCGTCGGGGCGGGAGGTCATAGCCTTGTCGGTCCTTCCTGCACGTGGCCTGACCTGGCCCATCCAGCCCCTCTCTCGCGAGAAGGCCTCTGCAATGCGATGCGGTCGTGGCGTGGCGCTGTTGGGGACACTGCGAAAAGAGAGGAATGTGTGCTGGATCTCCCATGTGGCAGAATGACATTAATTTCACGTTCGTTCATCGTATAAGCTTTATGAGCTTTCGCCACTTTCCTCTGAAATTTCTACCATGTTGGTTTCAGCTCATGGGCACCTAGCGACAGCATGCGTTCTCCTATCAATGACCTTACCGATAACGTCAGGAACATTCCGGCTTTCCCGACCGCCGCATTGCACCGCCCCCCCCCCCCCCCCCCCCGGTGATGTTACACCTCTCCCTCTCCCTCGACCGCCAGCCGCTCGGCGCTCCGGCGGGGTCGCAGACGTGACGTCACAGTCTCGTGCCGGGCAGACGGGGTGGCGTCCAGGCCCAGTTTCTGCGCACCTGGCCGCCTCCGATTGCGCCATTGGCGGCGCGCGCGGCGATCGTGGCGCAGCGCCAGCGGTGGGCGCGCGCGCCGCCTGATCCGTTCCCAGGCTCTTTCACAAACGGTTTCGGGAATTCGGTTTCGTCCGTTAATCGTCCCCACATAAATATTTATCGTGGCGGGCCTCTGTGGAAACCGAAAGTGATGTGTAGGTGATGGCCAGGGGCTCCTGCTGGTGTCATCGGCCACAATAGGGCGGCCCTCTCCTTCCCTCTCCTGGAGTCCAGACAGCGCCGCTGGAGCGGGGTAGTCCCCCACAGGAGCGAAGCCTTGCACGATTCCCTGTGCGGGTCGAAAACCAGAGTCTCAAAAAGCTCCCAGGCACTTTGGAGTCCCGAAAGTGTTGTTGCTTCTGGTCACCTTAACTAACTTCGGCGGGACGAAAATATATTTTGGAAGAAGGTTCCAAGAACACGCAATTCCCTGCCGTTCCTTCCACCGCTGGGTGGCGGATGGCAGCCGGGGTACCTGGTATGGAGCGGCCGGCGCGAGCGGCCAGTCTCCATCTGCGCCCCTGTCAACCAATCATCTGGCGTCTTCGCCGGCCGGCCGGCGACCCGGTGGCATGGTGCGGCCCCGTTTCCCCTCTTCAGCGCAGACCGCCGCCGGCGGTGTCTGCACCCTTCCTCGTTGTGCAACGCTGCACCTTTCAACATGCAGTTTGCGTCAGTGCCGCTGGACGCAGTTTATCGGCGCGGCAGATTGAGATGGAGTTTTCGTCACCGTCAGTACTAAGCTGCTCTACACCCCAAGGGCCAATTCCCTGGTGGTCTGGGCTGTTAAGCTGTCTGGGCGCCCGCCAATTTCTGTTTTATGTTTCATCTTTGCGTCTGTCTTGCCACTCTCTTCGTAATTTATGTTGCTATGCCTATCCGTTCTCCTATTCATCCCATTGACGAAATTCGCATGCCATTGCGGGCCGCTCAAACGAGGTGGATCATCGCGAGACAACGCTCTCGCCGCCTTGCCCACGTCGTTCCCAGTTGCTTATGCAAGCGTCTACAGCACGAATTTTGTCGTAAGTCATGGCCATTCTGTCATCATCGGCTGGGGGCGCGGCCCTCCCTCTCCTCACACCTCTCACGCCGCGCATCACCTATCAGCCGCAAACGATGTGAGACCAGCAATGTAGAAATCTCAGGGGCGTTTCATTTTGAAGGATCAGCTGGCGACAAACCGGCTAATTTAGAGAACCCAGCTGGCATTAGCCTCGTTTATCTCCGGGCTAGCTTTCAGGGCTCCGGCGATGGTTTAAATGATGTGTTCCACATTTGTATGGGGCTTTCAACTGAAATACCATCATGAAGATCATTCAGTGCAGGTCATAGCCCCGCCCTTCTTAAGACCTAAACCTCTCTGGTTCCTGAGCCGCACGCCCGGAAGGAAATGCATATTTTTCTGGAAGACTATTTTCATCCTACCTGATGCCTGTTTCAATATCTTCAAATATGAAGCATTCCCTTGAAGCAGGCTTAACCTGTCGCGCGAGATGTATCTGCTCAGATGTGTCACCGACTTTTATTGTTTATTGCAGTCTTCTACCGTCGTGTGGCACCGCCGATTTATTCATTTTCGATGGTCCCGAAGTCATATATTGTGCACACGAACAGAACAGTAAGCAACTTCAACGAGCATAGACAATTATCCAATGACGCAGAGTGAATTGCGTCCGAGGATCTCTCTGAGATGCAGTGAGCGCCGCCCGTACTGGCCGAGCCCTCCGCCGAGGTCGCTGTTGCCGTGGCGCCGGCTCGCGTGACCCGCCCGTGCAGTGAATCACCCACCGGCGCTGGCACGCCCTGGCGGGGTCACTCTGCAGGTGACCCGTCTGACCCCAGTGGGGCATTTC